ATATATAAATGTATTTATAATTTATAAATCTAAATATATACAAATAAATAATATGTACACATATGTAATTGGAATTTGGAAGAAACCTCCTCAGCCATCTAGCCCAGCTCATACATGAAATAAGTTTCCTCTAAAACATATCTGAGTATTGGAAGAATTCTAGTTCCTCTTCCATACAGCTATCATGTCCCCCAGAATCTTCTCTTCTCCAGGTTAACCAGGCTCAATTCCTTCAACAAATCCTCATATGACATGAACGCAAAGCCCTTCACCATCTTAGCTGCCTTCTCTGGACACTTTCCAACTTACCAATGTCCTTCTTTAGCCATAGCACCCTTAACCAAGCACAATACTCCAAGTGAAGTCTGATGAGGGCAGAGTACAATATTACCTCCCTATTTCTGGAGCCTATACCTCTTGTAATTCAGCCCAAGATCTCATTAACTTAATCTCTGATGGCAGAAAGCAAAGAAAAATTAAGAAGCCTCTTGATCAGGGTGAAAGAGGAGAGTGTAAAAGCTGGCTTGAAGCTTAACATAAAACAATGAAACAAAACAATAAACTAAAATCTTGGCAACTGGTCCATCACTTCCTGGCAAACAGAGGGAGAAGAAATGGAAGCAGTGTCAGATTTTATATTCTTGGACTCAAAGATCACTACAGACGGAGAATGCAGCCATGAAATTAAAAGACATTTGCTCCTTGGAAGGAAAGCTATGCCGAACCTGGACAGGATATTAAAAAGCAGAGACATTACCTTGGCAACAAAGCTATGGTTTTTCCAATAGCAATATATGACTGTGAGAGTTAGCACTGCAGAACTGACACTTTCAAATTGTGGTGCTAGAGACTTTTGAGAATCCCTTGGACAGCAAGGAGATCAAAGTAGTCAATACTTAAAGAAATTAATTCATGTGATTCACTAGAAGGTCAAATACTGAAGCTGAAGTTCATTTTTATTTATTGGCTAGGCAATGGGGTTAAGTGACTTGCCCAGGGTCACACAGCTAGTAAGCGTTATGTATCTGAGGCCAGATTTGAACTCAGGTCCTTCTGAGTCCAGGGTTGGTGCTCTATCCACTGCACCACCTAGCTGCCCCTGAAGCTGAAGTTTAAATACTTTGACCACATAATGAGAAGATGGGACTCACTGGAAAAGACCCTGATAATGGGAAAGATTGAAAGCAAAAGGAAAAGGGGATAGCAGAGGACAAGATGGATAGATAGTGTCATGAAAAGAATGAATGTGAACTTGGACAGACTTTGAGAGATAATGGAGAATAGAAGTGCCTGGCATGCTATGGTCCATGGGGTCACAAAAAGTCAGACACAACTGAACAACAACAAATGTCACAATCACAGTTGACTCAGTTGCTGTTGTGGTCTTCTAACACCTCAGATCTTTTTGAGAACATCTGCTGAATAGCTATACCTCCCCCATCTTGTACTTATGAAGCTGCAAAAATTTCCGTTTATCCCTATTAAACTTTATCTTATTAGATTCAGCCCAATGTTCTTAACTGTCAAAACCCTCTTGGATCTGACCTTGTCATCCAGTATGTTAGCTGTTCCTTAGTGTTATCTATAGATCTCATGAGTTTACCAAATATGTCTTTTTTTAAGTCACAGCAGCATAGCATTTCTTATATTTATCTTGTTTTAACTCTCTATCACACTTCCCATTTTCCCACAAACTACTTCTCTCTGCAAGACTCTACCTCCATCCTGCCACTTTCCCTCTCATCTAATGAGCTGCTCTCTTGCTTGGCTGGGAAGTATAAGACTATCCCATATGATTGCCTTCATTCCCCCTCTGCCACTTCTTAGACACATGCCATTCTATCTCTCACCTCCTGCATCTTTGCTTTTGAATGAGATGCTTGGAACATGTTTCCACCTTATTTCTGCATCTTAGAATTCCCAGTTTCCTTTGAAGCTCAGCTCAAATATTGTCCTTTACATGAGGCATTTTCTGATCTCCCCCTCAGCCCCCAGTTATTAATGCCTCCTCTTCCAAATTACCTTGTACTTATTATATACAAATATAAGTATAGTTATTATATCATAATAAATTATATTTGTATTTATTATACGTGTGTACATATTATTATATGAATAATACATATTATATAAAAGTTTGAGTACTTATTGTATTCCCTGATAGAATATAAGCTTGAGGACAAGTTACTGTTTCATTTTTATCTTTGTCTCTCCTGTGCCTAGGCCAGTGCCTGATACATAATAAGCATTTAATAAATGCTTGTCAACTGATGGATTGATGAGGTGCATTTTCTTCCTGGTAAATCTATTCTGCTTGTGTCCTTGATCCTATATCCTTCCTTGTCCTGTTAGATTATTCTATTAATCATCTCTTTTCCTCTCAAGTCTTCAGTCTTTCCCTCATTGTTGATTCCTTCCTCCTTAGCCTACAGAATTCTTAGATCTTCCTATAATTAAAAAAATCTCTCCTAGATTTTGATACTCCTCAGATTATTTTCCTGCTTGTTTCTCCTTTCTACTGTCAAACTATTGGGAATTTATCACACTCACTCATCCTGTCCACTTATCACCTTTTCACTCATAAACCTCTTGCTACGATTGAGGCTTTTTTTTTTTTGTCACAGCAGGAATTTATTTTGCTTGGCTATACGTATTTGTAATAGGCTACATTTTTCTTGCTTTCTCAGGGAGGGGAGGGAGGAAAGGGAAGGAGAGTGAGAAAAAGAGAGAGAGAGAGAGAATGAAAGAGAGAGAGAGAAATAATGTGGACCTGAAAAGCAAAACTGAATTAAAAATAAACCCTTTAATAACTGCCTTTTGTCGATAGCACTCAAGTGAAATAGCTTTCATCGAGGAAATAATGGGAATGGGGGCAGGAGGAGGAGACAGAAATCTTCTCCTCCCCAACTCCACCCCCCTCCTTCCTCAGCCCAGTGATTTCCTTTCAAGGACCAGCTTCTTTTTCTACTGCTGGTAACTTAATGACCTCACCCAATTCAATGTCCTTCCCCCTCCCTCCCCCATAATCCTCATCAACTTCTCTGTCTCTTTTGATACTGTAAACTACTTCTTGATTATTTTTTGGAGGCAGGGAGGCAATTGGGGTTAAGTGACTTGCCCAGGGTCACATACAGCTAGTAAGTGTCCAAGGCTGGATTTGAATTCAGGTCTTCCTGACTCCAGGGCCGGTGCTCTATCCACTGGGCCACCTCACTGCCCCCACTTCTTAATTCTTAATGGTCTATTTACCCTTGGCTTCTATATACACTCATTCCTTTTCTTCCTTTCTCATTTATCTTTCTTTCCTTCATTAATCCATCTTTCTTAGTATACTTCTAAGTGTAGGCATCCACCAGATTCAGTTTTTGGTCTTTAAGGAAAAAGTTCCTAAAAGTTATCCAACAGTAGAATGTGTCACCTTGGAACATAGTGGGTTTTCCTTCCCTGGAGGTCATCCAGCAAAGACTGGATAACCTCTTGCCAGGGATGTTGTAGAGGGAATTCTTGCTCATGTACGGGTTGGATTAGAGGGTCTCTGAGGTACTTTCCACCTTTGAGGTTCTA